AACTATTTCTTCGAAGAGATTAGAATAAATGGACTGTAATTCTAGATACATTCACTTGCTACTCTTTTTTAAAAAGTTTATTTGCATGTGTTGTTTTGTTCATTTAGCAACAATCTCATCGAAAATATGTTTAAAACTGATTTTTGTAGCAATTGTACAACACTGCTTGATATGAGTGAACTATGGAATGCTCTGACGTCTTCATTAGCTCCTAATAAAATGGTTTGGAAACAAACAAACAGACAAACAAATACATAAAAGTTATATTTAGAAAAAAGAACCCTTCAGATCCCTTACCTCTCGGATCTTAAAGTTGGCGTGAATGGCAGAATCGGAAGGAAAAGCAAAACTGAAGGGGACTTGGATTCTTCATTGAGCACCTAACCTGGGACATTAAACACCCCAAGGGATGAAAGGAAAACAAGACTCACTCCACACATTTAAGGAGCGCTACCTGACTAGCAATCCCACTGCCAGGCGTTACGTGAACTGTTGGGCTGGAGTTGGCTGCGTGGCAGTTGTTGGACCTCAAGAAATACAAGGACTTATAAGTATCTTCCAAGAGCAAATACTAGAATCCTATTCAAGTGTAGACACACATTACCACAGAGCCAAGTAAAGACCACAGAGGTTGAAGACCACCCAAAGTGTTTTGGAAGACAGACCTAGTGATCTACTGCCCCCAAGTCAGCCCCTGAAACTCTTATGAAGCCCATTTTCATCCTGATTCACAGCGGGTAGCCGTGGACTTGGAGCCGACTCAAATGCACCTGGTGGCTTTGGCGTGAGAGTGAAAGCCCTGTATGTCTCTCTGGACGAGACTGTGGAAAACCTTAGACACATGGCTAAGCAATTTCTTCATAACACCATGAAGCCTTTGAAGACAATCAAAGCACACCAACTCCCACCTCGGTGAAATACACACACTCGCAGGCACCTCTCACCATTGGATCTGTATGTGGTTAAGATTGCAGACTACCTTCTGCAGGCAATGGCTGTAGGCTGTCACCATCCGACCTTCCGAGCCAGGAGAAACTAGACCATGCAAGTGCTTCCACGCTCCAGAAAATGCACGAGGGCCCCTGGCAAGTTTAATCTGATTCCTGGGCAGAGCATCTTTCCATGAATTTCTTTCAGTACACATCCCCTCCCTGGACATTTTACCAACGGTTGCTAACTGCAAGGTCAGCAGTTTGAAACCAGCAGCTGCTCTCCATGAGGAAGACTGGGCTTTCTACTCCCATAAAGAGTTAGTGTCTCAGAAACCCACAGGGGAGGTTCTACCCTGTCCTATAAGTTGCTGTGAGTTGGCACTGACTGATGGCAGGAAGTTTGCTTCTTGTCTAATTGGTGTTCAACAGTCTGAGAATTCACACGCATCCTGTTCTATAGGTACTGCTCACAACATGTAGTAAACAAACGCATTCGATACACCTGACCCATTATAAATTCCGGAACAAAGTAGGCATCGGTGTCCTAATTATAATGGTGTTGGAATCTTTTAGAATATGTACCATCCTATTCTGCAGAAGCCATGAAAAAAACTGATGTGACAAAAGAAAACGGAAATCTTCCAGCTAAGCTGGGGCGCGGTGGCATGCCGCGGACAGCGATTGCATTGCAATGTGACAAATCCGGCAAGGGAAGATGGGAAATTTCAGACTAAGAAAAATAACACCACCACAACCATTTTAAGACATTTCAGCAGCAATGAGTATTTATTATTTCGAATGAAATGTACATGACACTTTTATATATATAAAAAAACCAACAAAAGTGCTATATTAGATTATTTTAATATTTAACTTAACACCCCACCCCCACCCTTGGGTCATCTAGTAGCTATACCATGTGGCTATACCTTGTATTTGTGTTCACTTCTGACCCACTGATGCTCTACAACAGTCTTCTAAATCTCCAAAGAATCTAAAGCTGTCCGATGGTAAAATACACATACTGTATATACTTGTGGATAAGCCAAGTTTTTCCGCACATTTTCATGCAGTTTTTGTGGTAAAACTAGGTGCCTCGGCTGATATTCGGGTCAGCTTATACTCGAGTATATACGGTGTATACATAAGATTAGTTTATTCTTCAAGGAAAAGTACCACGTGAAGAGTTACTGAAAATGAAACAGAGAAACAAATGCCAGAGAGTCAACTTACGGGGGGTGGGGAGGTTGGGGGGACGATCACAGAATTTTATAGAAGTAGGCAAAGTCCAAGGCAAGTTAGACCTTCGGGAGAACACGCAGTGGTGATACAACTTCTTAAGAGCCAGGGCCGCCCTCTTCGAAGGCAGGTCGGTCTCTGGTGTGCCAAGCCGCTTTCTTGCTTTCCGTATCTTCCCTTGGCTGCTCTCCAAGAGCTGAGATGCTCTGTCATACTGTGCAGCTCCCGCACCCGCCAGCATGTTTAATATCGAGAGAAAGCTAAATCTTTCAGTCTTAGAAATCGCCCTTAGGATTAAGGTTGTCATGAAAGTAGACACAATCTATAGAAGGGAGAAGCCCTCCATCTGCCAACAGCCCAATCCATCCTGCTGCTTCTAGTCCATGCCAGTGTCGAGTCCATCCTCCCGTACACGGTGCGGGGTGAATCGGCTGACAAAGGTAGAGCAGGTTGGGTCAGGCTACACCCCCCATTTGGTCTCACTCAGTCTTAAGCAAACAAGCTTCTCTGATTGACCACGAGAGCCGTCTGACTCTCCCGCCTCTTGCTTTTCTTGCTCCTCTGTCGCACCTTCCAGCACAAGGCACTGGATGCTAACAAAAACAGTCCGAAAGACAGGAGGACCAGGCCGAAGATGGAGATGACGGAGCCGTGCGAGTTGAAGCTGTAGGCCACGGCAGTGACCACGATGCCCGCAATGAGGACCACCACGGCGAAGGGAATGAGGCAGCGGTAGCAGGAGAGCTCGGCACCCCCTGTAGCGGCTGTCAGCTGGATCTCACTGACCAGGGGGACCGTGGTGACCACCACGTCACTGGTGGGGCTTTTCTCCATCGTCGTTGTCTTGGTAGGCTTGGGGGTTCCCAGGATGTCCTTTATGGGCTCTTCTGTCATTTTTGAAGCCCTTTCCTATCGGGCTCAGAGAGCAGATCTGGAGGACGTCACAAGGGCAGAGGCTGTGGAGGAGAAGGCAGAGACATCAGCTGCATGCATCAGGATGGACTCTGCAGGGTGAGCGCAAAAAAAAAAACGAGTGACCTTGGCGTGGACCGGGACTCATGATGGCCCTGGGCGTGTCAGAACAGAACTGTGCTCCCAGGGTTTGCAATGGCTGGTTTTCAGCACTAGAATACCAGGCCTTTCTTCCGAGGCGTGTCTGGGTCGACTTCAATTTTCTGGTTAGCAGTAGAGTATGTTAACAAGCCTGTGCCACCCCGGGACTCCTAAACCAGCTGCCGTGGAATCAGCCCAACTCGTGGCAACCCTGTGGGCTGGGCAGGTGCCACTAGGTTCTTTTCCAGGAGACCCAGATGCACGCGGGAATAAACGCTGCATTTCTGCTTACCAACTGGTGGTATTCTTTTTTGCATCAGAATAAAAGTCAGATACACCTGATATCCGTACAGGAAAATGCATAGGAAACCAGGAGCACTTTGCCGTGTCTAATAGAGCCTGGCAGTCTACAAATATTTGACAGGTGCTTCTCTTTTGTTGAACACCCTTCTTCCCACTCAATGCACAGGGCAGCCTGAATCCCACCCAAAGACAGCCGCATCCAAGAGGGGATTCTGCCGGAAACAAGACATGGGACTGGTCGCCTCAGACCTCAGGGCAACTCAGCCTTTGCCAACGCTGCCTGCATGACTCAAATTCTTTCCAAAGGAGCCCTAAAGAGGAGGGGGTTCAATGCCATGGCTTGTTAGGTTATAATTGTGTGCCTTCTTATGTTAAAAGTCCACTGTTATTCACTGGCAGATTAACTGCCGATTTATAAATTTTCTCTTATACTCAGTAAACAGTTCTGAGACGTGAAGAAGCAAAAGTGAAGCAGAGTACATTTCCATTGAAAACTGACCAATTCACCCACCACCAGCAGCATCCGTACACCTACCCTCGTGTACCAAAGTAGCTGTGATGTACTTCTCCAAGTATTCGGAACCTGGAAATGTCAGGATAAAGCCTGAAGTGATCCATCAAAGGCATCTGGTTGAAACTCTGTCTGGGACAAAGTGCCCGCCTGCCACCCACCTGTATACCCTGGGGACACAGCAGAGATGAGAGACGCATCGGGCAGTGGCAGTGACGGGAAAACCGCCAGACCCTTTCAATCAGCTTCATGCCTCGCACGTACTAACCCCCACCGCACACGCCTGAGCCCCGCACCAACCCTTGCTGCTTTTCCCTGAACCTCCCTCAGTATAACCCCAGCCCCCTAAATTATTAGAACTGCTACTTGCACATGATTTTGAGTTTGCCAAAATCACTGAATGCTCATCGGGGATTCTGGCTAGGCTAATGGCAGGATAGCTGGGCGTAAGCCTGACAAAGAACCTGCTCCCCAACCCCAGGAGCTGGTCTAACCTGCAAACCACCATCATAGGCACCTCCACCTGGCCTAGCCATTAGCAGGGAGCCCACTGGACTCAGAAGAGCCCAGGACCCCACAGGCTCCCTCAGTCGCCCCTAGGGAAGAGAGCCTGTCCCAGCACGGAAGCCTATAAACTGACCTGTGGTGGGTGGGGGTCCCCCCTGGGGAACAGAAGAGAGACAAGTCCTTTCTTCCTCTGTGCTTGGGTTTGGATCCTGCAGCTCTGTCTTCCTCCCCTCTGCCTCGGATCCTAACTGACCGTGTTTTTTCCTCCCTCCCTCTTTTTATTCCCTCCCCCTGCGGCTGGGCCCTCCCTGTCATCTCCACCACCCCCCACCCCCCCCACTTCGTGCTTTGCTTTGCCAGCGGAGTCTGAGTTTCGGCTTCCCCACCTCTGCTCGGTGACCTGCTAAGTCAGGATCTGTCCAGAGCGCCGGCGGTGACTCGTCTTTCTCGCAGCCCTGATGGAGCAGGCTGCTTCGCATTACTCAGTTTTTCCCAGCCAACCTCCAGATCTTCCACCGCCCATGAGGCGGTTTCAGGAGAAAATCCCAGAGTCAGCTCTGCAGAGCCAGCAGAGGGGACTGAGCCCAGAGGAGGGGACAGACACTCAGGGCGGAGGGGAAGGGGGGAGTGGGGGGCAGCGGTAACAGCTGTGAAGTCATCAGGCAGCTGACAGCCGCCTGTGAGCCCGCAAAAAAATCCTCCCCAAGCCAACATTTCCTCAGTCTTCTGTCATTAGCCTGGTGCGAGGGTCATTCAAGGTTTTACAGTCCCGGACTTGCTGTTCATCCCTTTAGGAACAAGGCGTGTGGGGGGTGGTAAGTTTGGTGGTGAAGAACGAAATCCAGTCAGCTTCATGTAAGCAGGGCTGTTTACTGCGTGTGCTCGGAAGTAACTGGCGATGCTGGAATCACGGACCGACACCAGTCAAGCTGGCGCACCCACCCCCATGCACGCACACTAGTTCACTGAGTGAAAAGAAGCTCAGAGAGGTTGGGTAACCAGACAGCGGTCACACAGAAAGAGAGAAGCCCTAGGCTGGAGCCCCAGTTTTAGAGGGGCCCACGCGTCCCCTGCGGAGCCTGTCAAGGGTAGGTGTCCTAACTGAGTAGGTCTGTTGACAAGCTCCCAGGTGATGCTTTTCTGCTGCTTCTGTAAGGAGCACGCTCTGCCCAACTCTAACATCAATGGCACCGGGCAGGCACAGCACACTCTCCCACGGTAAAGCTGGATTCAAGCTCCGCCCCCCAACCCCCCAGAAGGGCCTTATGGGTCTGTGCTTTCTAACCGACAAGGTATTTGGAATTCTAAAGTACTTGAAATAGATCGTTATCTTTTAGGGGGGCGGGGGTTGGGGGGATGAATATAGTATCAGGACACTGTTACTCCTTCCTCCCATCCTTCCCAGGCCACCAGGAGTTGGAATGGAACTCCACAGTAACTGAATACTGCTTATACTTTGGTCTAAATCTCACTGACCCCACTTCTTTCAAAAAATCTGAACATGTTTTAGTATCTCTTTTAATGGATGCCGCAAATCTATGAATCCAACTCCAATATTGGACAAGCCCGGACTTCTTTTGCCCTCTCACACTGCTGGACTTCCCCTCTGATGTCCCGATGGCTTCCCTCTGTCCTACAGTCTCCGCCCCCCCACCCCCCCACCCCCAGCTTTGTCCAGTGACAGTGGGAGAAGGGAACATTAGTTCTTTTTCCAGAACCGAAGCCAGAGTGCGGGCTTCTTCTTTTTTGAAAAATCAAGTTGGAGTCCCAAGAGAGAGGTGGGGGGGAGGGGGGGAGAGAGAGAGAGCGAGCACAAGTGAGCAAGCTGGCAGAAGGGTGTGTATCTGTGGACCCTCAGCCTTACCTTTCAGGTGTGGAAACTAAAGATACCCCATCCCTGAGGAGAGCAGTCACTGGTGTTGAAAATCAGGGACACTTAGAACAAGCCTCCTTCAGACGCAGTTGTCAATGTTGCCCGTGGGAGCTGAGGATGGAGGGCCCAATGAGAAGCTTCTGGAAGGAGCAGCAGTCCCCTCACCTCAACTGTGGCCTCAGGGAGCGAGACTGCGCTACTTCCTAGGGATAGACCATTTCTCCCAAACTGTAACCTCAGGACTTCCCTGAAGTCCTTTCTGTCAATCACCTCATCGTGCTGAAGAGTATGCATCCCTGGGACCTAATCCAAAGTGACACCTGACAGACTTCCGTGCAGAGAGGGGCAGGACGCACGTCTCCCTGTGGGTACTCTTGGCTGAATCTGCAGTGAGAAGACATCTATGCAGGGTTGCTCTGTGGGACAGGGTCCGCGGTCATTTTTAGAAAGCACCTTTGAGGAACTTTCCCTCAAACCTTTGGGTTACTCAAAAGGAGAAAACAAAACAAAACAAAAATTCATTGCCACTGAGTTGATGTCAACTCATGGTGACCCATGAGTTTCCAAAACTGTAGCTCTTTATACCAGAGTAGAAAGCCCTGTCCTTCTCCAGGGTAGTTTTGAACTGCCAACCTTGCTGTTGCAGCTCAATGTATAACCACTACACCACCAGGGCTCTAGCCAGTGGCCGATCACTTGTGCCACGTGGGCTCCTTACAAAGCCATCTGGGGCTCTCTCAGGTGCACCAGCACCCCTATTCCTGTTCCACTACATCTGGGCATCTACCTATATACACAGACCTGGATCTCCAGACTCAGCAGATTAGATGTAAGAACCAAGAAGCAAAAAGCTTTCACATCACCCAGAAACTGTATCGGAAGAATTGACACATGCCAGGACACCAGGGAGTCCTGGGGGCTGGGGAGGGGGTCAGATCTGTTAGCACCCGTGGCTGGAAGGCACAGCCACTCGCTCTGTGGGAGAGCTGGGAGGCAGTTTGCTTCCGTGAAGCTTGACAGTGTTGGAAACCCTCTGGAGAAGGGGTTTCTAGTGGCTAGGAGTCAGCGTTAGCCCCACAGCCATGGGTTTGAGGAGCCCCGTTGGCAGAATGGATTATGCGGGGTGAGCGCTTCCAGGGCACCAGTCTCTCCCAGGGAGAAAGAAGAGGCCTTCTGCTCCCACAAAGATTTCCAGCCATTCCAGCCGTGGGAACCCACAGGGGCCTTTCAGCTCTGTCCTGGGAGGGGTGGGGGGGTCCTATAGTCAGAATTGATTCCTGATTCCGTGGCTAGGAACCCACTGACCGGCAGCTTTCAGGCAGTGTAAATGGAAATTCAAAAAGAATTCCTAGTGCCTACAGTCTTGGAATACCCCTCCCCCTTCCCAGGTCCCCAATCCTGCCGTAGGGTGCCCTGGGGCATGGTGGGTTCCGAATCGGGTTGTTATCCACAAGATCAGCAGTGGGAAACCACCAGCCTTTCAGAGGCTTCGGTTCCTGTAAAGTCTCGGTCTCAGAAACCCCCGGGCCAGTTCCGCTCGCTCCTTTAGGGTTGCTATGAGCCGGAATCCACTCTACCGCCGCCGTGAGGTCGGAGTTTGGAATCCTACCTAGAAGGCCATCGACATCCCGATCCTTGCTGGAACACCTCACCCCCGTGCAAAACCTCATCCCAAAGCCAATGTCCTGCCTCACAGCCTCTCCTTTCGGGAAGAGAGAGAGATTCCTCTGTGCTCTTTAAAGCACGTGGCTTCACAAGCCGCCTTTAAGTTCAGGGAACTTTTCTGGAAACCCCACCAGCAGCCCCAGGCAGACATTTAAGTCTGTCCCCCTCCCTTTAGCGGCCAACCCTCCGCTCCCAGTCTTGCACAAAGCAGAGCAAGGTCCTTACCTTTCCCAGCCAGAAGCGGACTGAGACAGCTGGCAGCCAGGCCCTGGGCTACCCAGCGAGGGGGATGCATGACTCTGCTCTAGGGACCGTGGGCAAAGTACTCAGCACGGCTTCAAACAATTTAGGGACCGGGGAAAATTGGTGAGAGGAAACTCCTTAGCTGCCGCTGTATCTGGCGCTACAGTTTCCACATCACACGTGTGTGTGTTTAAGGGAACACAATTTGGAATGCACCCTCCTCCTTTGTGTCTTTTTCTCTGTTCTTACTCGGGCTTGCATTTTCGTGGGTTTCCTTTCCCGAAGCCCCCGTTGTGATCCCAGCTAGCCCTCTCTAAAACGGTGCATGGGGGTGGGGCTGTCTTTGATCTTGCTTCTCCTGGTCTTCCGTGGGTGGTGTGCGCTTCGGTGGGGAGCAGACCTGGAATACACTTCTCTGGAATAGGCTCGAACGCAGATGAAGAAAAGACTTGGTTACAGCTCCTGGGTGGTGCAAAGGGCTAAGTGCTGCAAAGGGTTAAAGGCTCCGCTAAGAAAAGACTCCAGACCCCTCCACACCCTAGCGCATCCCCACCCCCACCGCACCTCCTGGGAAAACCAACAAACTGAAACAAACTCTCCTCATCCCCCTCTTCGCCCCCCACCCCCAAACCCATCCGCAATCCATTTAGCTGTTTCTGAAAAATCAGTCATTGAAACCGTATGGAGCAAAGTCCCTGGGTGGCACAGTTTGTCTTCAGCTGCTAACTAAATAGCTGGTGGTTTGCACCCCAGCTCAGTGGTGGGGTCGGGGCGGGGGGTGGGGGTAGGGGGGCGCGACCTGGCATCTGCTGTCCAGTCAATTCCAACTCAGAGCGACCCTGTAGGGCAGAGCAGAATCGCCCCATTGGCTCTCCAAGGCGAGAATCTTCATGGACGCAGACTGCCAGGCCTTTCTCCTGCAGAGCAGCTGGGGCCCCAACCACCGACCTTTTGCTTAGCAGTGAGCACTTTAACCACTGCACCACCGACGCTCTTTCCCATAAGATGACAGCTCAGAACAGCCTATGGAGCTGTTCTGCTCTGTGACACAAAAATGGACGAAAGAGCAAAGTCCACAGCAGACTGCCCTACGGAGCAGGGTTCTCCTGGGACACCCCACCCCCACCCCCACCTCACCCCAGCGCAGCAGGAGGTGGCCATGACTGACTAGACAGAAACTGGTTGGTTAAGAATTGACGTCGCTGCTATCGAGTTGGTGCTGACTTATAGCAACTCTATAGGGCAGATAAAAACGGCCCCTTTGAGTTTCTGAGCCTGTCACTATTTATGGGAGTAGAAAGCCTCCTCTTTCTCCTTTGAAATGGCTTGTGGTTTGAACCGTGGACAAGAATCAAGGCCCAACGTGTAACCACAAAGCCACCAGAGCTCCCTTTAAGAATTCACTGTGCAAAGGCAAAATTTGATGCCCGAGGGGCCCTTCTCCCTGAAGTCAGGGACGTGGTGTGATCCGAGCTCTTCACGGTCTGTCTGATGGTCCAGGCAATCCTGCTCGGGCCACACACAAGATCTGTTTCCAAGTGAGTTTGCAAATTAGATCCGTATGGTAAGTTGGAAAAGGCACAAAGGATTCTTAGTGAGGCATAAACCATAACCATTCAGTCTCAAAGCCTTATATAGGCTATTGACTGATGGCGGTGGGTTCCCTCGCTGCCATGGAGTTAACTCGGGCTTGAAGCGACTCTCCAAGATGGGGTAGGGCGCCTCTGAGGGTTTCCAAAATAGTATCTCTTTACCAGAAAGCCTCATCTTTCTCCCTGGCAGTGGGTTATTCC